CCTCCTCTCCTCCACGCGGAGCCCGCACTCGGTGCAGAGCCGCCGGCAGCTCCTCTTCTCCCACTGTGAGAGGTTCTTGCCGGTCTGCAGGCACTCGCGGCCCTCGGTGCCGTGGTGGCCCAGGCTGGCGTTCCTCGTGCAGTAGTCGGGAGAGTCCTCCAGGAAGACGAGCTCCGTGGCGTGGACGTGGTGGAAGGTCTCCGCCGTGGCCCCGCGGCTGTCGGCGCTGTTGCCGGCTCTCATCCGCCTCTTGTCCATCTCCAGCTTATGGGCTTGGTCGTATTTTATCTTCAGGTAGTTCCCGATCTCGCGAAATTCGGCGAGCTGGAGCCAGCAGGTCTGGATGCTGCAGCTGCCGGACACCCCGTGGCACTTGCAGGCTCGCTTCATCGTGGCTTTCACAGCCTTGGTGGAAAAGGTGGAGAAATTAGGAGCGGCAGAGCATCGTTATTTAAATCCCCAAACCAGGTTCTACAGCACTGCCAATTCCGGAGGCAATGGGTCAAAAGTGGCTCGTGCTGGGCATGACTTCAGGTCCTTCCAAGACATGAGCTGATGCTCTTATTTAGGTTCCTGGAAAACATCTGTCCCTCTTCGCTAATTAAAAGGACAGAGATAATGAGTGGGCACAAACTATTGTCTCCAGCCCTTGCAGGAGCTGTTTCTCCAGGACAGGGCAAAAGCACATTTGTCAGGTCATGCCCTTCTCACGCCATTCCAGTCTGCAGCTCACCTCGCTCATCAGAGCATCAACCCATCACCCCTTTCAGAGGTTTCATTCAAAATGTGTGAAACTGCTTCGGAATAATCATACCCGACCTCTCTGCATCTCCTCCAGGGAAGCACTTCACAGATATTATCTACCTATCTCCCTCTGGTATTTATAAGGTCTCAATCGCTGGTATCTATGTGAGATTAAGCCTCGGCACACCCTATGAGATAGGTATGTTAAGTGTTGCCGTCCTTGTTTTTACAAACAAGGAGGTTTGGCAGGATGCTGAAAGCCTCCGCCGGCCCAGGCGAGGAGCGAGTCTGGCAGCCAGCTTGTGAGCGGGGCCAGCTCACACCTGGCCTCCCCAGCCAAATAGCTTGGAAATGCATATTGCAAGAAAGCAAGGTGGTTCTTGCTTTGTTTTACAGACCAGACAAGTGCTAGGTGAGTATAAAACCTGCGCATTTCTGACTAAGTGGTGTGTGCTAGTAGTTAACTGTGTTACACACAGCTGCAGAAGCTGGAAGTGGGAACAACTCTTACTGCAGTTCCTCGTGTTCAGGTTTAGGGCCAGATTCTGGCTGTATTTTTTTCCCCATGTGAACACTACAGGGCCTAGATTGTCACAGAGGGCTGGAGACAGGGACCTGAACAGCCCACCAGACTCTCAGACTTTGTTTTCATTAGAGACGTCGTCGTCGTCATCATCATCATCATTATTATTATTATTATTATTTGACTTACAAGTCTCCCGACTTCATTGTTGTGCAGGTTAATCAGCGCGCGGGTATCGTGTCCTGTTTCCAAAGCATCCACAAAGAGCTTGGAAATCCTCTCCCCGAACTCCACGTTGTCGCTGCATCCTCCCCAGACCCAGCCTCGGCCACCTGCAAGACAGACGCACGCTAAGCACAGAACCGCCCCGTCGGGCCAAATTCTGCCCTGAAATCCGGGGGGATGCGTGTGGGGATGGGAGAGGCGATGTCAGCGCGTCTTGAGATGGCGGCTCACCGACGCGGCCGTTCCTGGAGTCGTCGCAGCCGCAGCTCTCGAAGTCTCCCATGCTGCAGTTCCTGGTGAGGGTGTACATGACGCCGGCCGAGCTGATGGCGTGTACAAAGGACGTTTCCCGGGTAGCTGGGGGAGAGGGGAAAATAAAGCTGTCACGTGCAAACACAGACATCAGTCCTAGTTTATTGGGAATGAAGCTCTCCTGCGCTGCAAAGGTGCAAGAAGGAGAAAAAAAAAAAACAAACCAACCAGTTTGTGCAAAAGGTAAGGTGCGACAGAAATTAAATGCTTGTGACTGGATGCTTTAGGCTTCGGCATGAAGGGTTTCAGCAATTCGGCATAATACTATGCAGGTGTCCACTATGGGATGGAGTTTCTTGGCAGCAGCAGGATCTTAAGGCAGTGCCCCAATCCTGCTCTGGCCAAGGTCAGTTATCACTGGCTTCCCCCGGCACTCGGTTCCTCTCTGTCCTCTCCTGCTCGGGGGGTATATCCGTGCTTTGATCTTGCCTGCTGGGGAAAATCGTCATTGGTCTTGTTTCAGGCGGTGGTTGAACCTGTGCTAACAGCTGTCTGCACCCACTCTTCTCGTTTAGTTTCTTTTTTGGCTTTCCTAACAGATTCAAATAGAGATGCTGCTCTGGGAAAAAAAAAAAAAAAAAAAAAAAAAGATTTCTGCTTGTTGAAGCAGTCAGTACTCAAATATATCCACAACTTTCTTATGAAGACAGCCTCTTAGTGCCCGTCTCTGGTTTCTCTCTTCACCTCTCCTGCGCTTCTCCCCGTTGCGAGCTCAGGTGCCTCTAGCATTGCACACCCTGGGATGCTGCACGCAAAGTGGCAGGAGCAAGCCCACGAGCGGCACTGCGGGAAGGACAGAGCTCCAGCCTAGCACGGATAGAGACCCAGAGAGAGCCTGGGATTCCTAGGAAAATGTTAGCGCTATTTATTACATCCAATTAATACAGATGGAGGAAAAACAACCATGATATTTGGGACACAGAAACCCTTCTCCACTGGTTGGCTTAATTAGCAGCCCCAGCTCTCTCCAAGGCGCATCCCAGCTCGTACCCGAGGGCATCCCGGGATGGGGACGCTGGTGCCGGCAGGTAAAGGCGCACTCACCGCTGCGGAGCCGGTTGTGGGTGGAGAGCTGCAGGGCGCTCTCGGGGCAGTTCCAGCGCTCCCACCCGAACTGGAACTTGCACTCCTCCATCCCGCTGTGCGCCCCGGCCGCCACGCTGCTGGAGTACGTCAGGTAAGCCTGGCACGGGAAACAGCGGGGTTAAACGCCACTGCGTTTTACCAGTTATCAATGAAAACGGGCATAAACGGGTTGTGAGTCCTTTCCCTCGCTACTCAGCGGGACTTGGAGCCGATACGCTCCAGGAAATCGGGTTCCTTGGAAAAGTCCTATTTCCCATTTGCAAACCAAAATTGCTCTACTTAAATTCCTGACAGCCCGTGTGTTAATTACCTTAGGTCCTGTCATCAGAAAGTTATTCACAGACCTGAAACAAAGAAAGGAAAATCAATCGCAGAGTTTACCACAGGCTGAAGAGCATCCCTAAAAAAATGTCCTTTCCGCTGAGCCGGACCCTACCATGCTGCTGTGCGGAGAACGGCGCCATAGACCCCGGCGATGGAGAGGATGAGGAAGGTGCTTCTCTTCATGGCTGTCACAAGGAGCGGGGTCAGATCCCTTTCGCTGATCCGCAGCTCTCCGTGCCGCAGGTCCCCGACTGAGCAGGGCCGCCTCCCTCCGCTCCTTCCCAAGGTGAGCTACGGGGATGGAGGAAAGCTGCAGGAACCTGCAACCCTGATATTTATAAGGTGAAGCTGTGAATAGTCAAAACCCCCCATTCATTTGCTACCCAATGACTTAATGTGGTAAAAAAGCTCCCGCTCCAATGGGTGACAAGGAACCGCCTAAGGTTGCACTTCAAAAGGCGGCGCGGTGTCCCTGGGAGCGGGATGGGCTGAAGAACAGCAAACTTCCCTAACAATGGGACACTTTTAACTCTCTTCCCCACCGCCAGCCATCCCTTTCTCTTGGCCCCGAGTCCGCTCGCCTTCTCCTTTTCATCCTCTGCTTGCCAGCGGAGGCTCAGTCCCTGCGCCCCTCCGAAAGAACAAGCTGATGCATTTCTATAGTTCCCCTGCTATCTGCCTGCTCCCTCCTATGAGAACTCCCCGAGGAGTTTTAACAACCGTTCTGTAAAGATCTATAGGGGATAGACCTCCCAGGTCTTCTTGATTTGAAGAGATGCGTTTAACGGCGGGGCTTTTTTTCCCTCCTCGCCTCTTTACGATGAAAGTTGCTGCGTTTCTGTCCCGATAACAGCGTGCACGGCTCGGGAGTGTTTGGAAATCTCTCTAATTTACGCGGCTGCAGCTTGGGAACACTGTGTGAATCATTTATGTGGTTTGCTCCATGCTCCAACGCTGCAATTAGGGGAACAGTTTTCTGGGTTTAGCAATTTCCCTCCGGCGGAGGCTGCCGCAGCAAAAGCCCGGCTGCTCGCTGGCTCTGCAGGCAGGAGCGCTGCCTGCACCCCCTGAGCAGCGAGGGGCCTCCACCGCTGCCGAGCCATCGGCTGTGCTCAGGAAAGGAAAATCCTTATCAGAGCAAACCCAGAAAAGCCTCTTAATAGTTACGGCCAATATCATTAAGGGCTGTAAAGAGCTGTAATGCTGCGGATGGAGCAACAGCGAGGTGGTGTTCATGGAAAGTTCTTGGTCTGTTTTTCTGTGGCTGAATGGTCCCAACCAGGCGCTGGCTCGCTCCGGGCAGGGATCCTGCCTGCTGAGCAGGGCAGCGTGGGTGCTTAGCCCAAAAGCCGTGCTGTGCCGTGCCAAGCAGCCCCCCGGCTCTGCCAGGCACCGTGCCATGGCACACGGGTGCAGCATCTGCCCGGCACTGGCTCCATGGCAGGGCAGAGCCGCTGCCCTCCTCCTCCTCCTCTTCCTTTCAGCTCCCCAGCTGACCCCCGGGTACACCCGCCCGTCTCCTGGCATTAATTACTGCAGGGCGACTCGGGAAGGGGCTGCAAATGTGAGGTTCAAGGGAATGGGACGGCACCGCAGGTGGCACCGGGGGGGGCTGCGCCACGAGCAAAAGGGGACATGCGGGGACAAACCCCATCTTTGCACCCGGGCGAGCAGCCGCAGCCAGCGGCGCTGCCGTCAGGCAGGAGGCTGTGCCCTAAATGCTTCTGCAAAGTATTTTGCTGTCTTGCCATGAAACGCATGAGAGCATTGCAAAGCCAGCAACCTGCGCCATGGCTTTACACGTCACGGCGCTGGATGTCTGAAGCGTGGGTCTGTCAGCTCAGGTGCCAGGCAGCCGGGGGGCTGTCACTCCTCTCCCTCCCTTGCTCCCAGGAGCAGGCAGGCGAGCTCCTCGCCGTTCCTGGCTGCAGAAAGCACGGGGATTCTCCCTGTCCCGCGGCCTGTCAGCGAGCGAGAGGAGAACCCTCTCCCTCAGACCTGCAGAAGGGAAACCTGGAGCCAGTTGGGCAAAGCCGCAAACAACTGTTTGCAGCCGGAGGATTAAAATTGCAGATTGGTTGAAAAGCAGGGATGCAAAATACCTTCCAAGTGAGCACAAAGTTGGTGTAGTCCTGCCAGCATGGCAAAACCCTCTGTGAGTCAGCATTTTAATCATTACCATCCCAAACAGATCCTGCTTGTTAGAGCTGTCAAAGGACAATTACTGGGAATAAAGTCTTGCCCGTGTATCGGTGAAGTTCATTGATTAAAGCATACGGTTTGGAAATCTGCTGGGCATTTGCTATATGCATGCAGGTCATTCTTGGGTTTGTGTCTGGCTGTCCCTGGGGGCATATTGATGTTTTTTGGGGTTTTTTTTTTTTGCTTGTCTGAGAGAGCTTGTACAGCTAAAAAAAATAATGGCGTGTCTGCTATGTCAGTTCACACATGATATTCCTATCACACGCCAGAAGAATAACAGCATCTCTGGGCGTGAAGCTGTGCCGTGAGCAGTCGCTGCCGTTGGCAGGATCGCACAGCTATTTGCCCGGGCTATTAAAAATGTCCCTTCCAATTAAAGTCACAGGGATCTTAGAAGTCACTGGCAACGTTGTCACTTGCGCTAGCTGTCAGCAAACAAAGCAGTGTGCTGGGACAAGCCTTCTTGCGCTGCTGCAGTTTTTCTGTATTTACAGCTCAGTACCGGCGAGCGAGTGCTCGCGCTTCTGTGGGCTTATCCAGCCCGGCAGACCGATGGGACTGCAACCATCCCACTCATATCGCTGCTGGACTTTCCCACCTTAGGCAAAAGCAGACTTTGGTCTTGCTGTGTTAATAAATTTTGCACTTACAGAGCGCTTCATTGCAATGTCCTTGCAGGAAAAGAGATTAAATAGAGCTGCCTCTGTTTTACAGTTGGGTAAACTGAGGCAGAGCTGGGCGGTCTTGAGCTCTCAGGGTAAATCAGTGGAGAGCTGGACTGGGTGTAGCTGTTCGGCAGCTGATTTTGGTCAGACTTTGGTCTTGCTGTGTTAATAAATTTTGCACTTACAGAGCGCTTCATTGCAATGTCCTTGCAGGAAAAGAGATTAAATAGAGCTGCCTCTGTTTTACAGTTGGGTAAACTGAGGCAGAGCTGGGCGGTCTTGAGCTCTCAGGGTAAATCAGTGGAGAGCTGGACTGGGTGTAGCTGTTCGGCAGCTGATTTTGGTGCTTTGCTCCGAACATCGGGGGGGTCAGGGGGACTGCAGCAGGGCTGGGTGCTGCCCCGTCACCCGGGGGAAGAGCCTGCAGGTCCCAGCCTGGGCCGCCTGAGCCGCAGATCTCATCTGTGAAATGATGCCGAAGGATTTCTCTTTGGCTTTCCCACTGCCTGGAAACTTGCTTTTGGTTTGGGCTTGGATGGGGGGCGGGGGGGGAAAATCTGGATGTTCTGTTGAATTTATCTGGGTATGCAGCAAACTGTCAGTCGTTCTGGGCAGCCTCGGACCTCAAAGCGAGCCGTCAGCCGCCCAGCGCGGTGGCACAGCAGGACCTTGCCGTGGCTCCACGCGCTGTTGCAGGGCAGGCTGTTTGGAAAGCAGTGCCCTGAACATCAGCTGGAGCCCCTTGGCTTTACTGATAAAACGTTGATGCTTTGTTTCTTATTTTCTTGCTACGTGACCAAACAGCCAGTGCTTTTCACAGGAGAATCGAAACCCTAAAATATTTTGGTATCTGCCCCAAGTCAAGAGACGGTAATAGTACATACAGCCCCATGCACCCACAAAACCTTCTTCACATCAGAATATGGGGTTTAAGAGAAGGCAGACATGAGATAAATTGGTTTATATAAGTGCCACGCACTCTGCCGGGCAGCGGGTCCCATAGGGACGGGTTTTCGGGGCAGCGAGCCCCGTGGCTGTGGGCAACAGGAAAATACAGCACAGGCTACTTGCTAAATTGCCCTCGGCGGGTGACACATTCAGACCCCTAGCGTCAAATCCTGCATTGCTGGCTTCGTTACAATAAAAATCCACCTGGGTAATTAGAAAGCCAACCCCTTGCTGGCGAGGTGGAGGATGTTTTATGGTGCTCTCCCACATCGCTCCCCCGGGAAGCTGCCCGAGCCCCCGCGGGTGATGCCATGGCCTTGGTCTGTACGCAGCCGGCAAAGGGGACGTGTCCCTTCGCTTCGAAATACTCCATCACGGAGGACTGCAGCCCTGGGACAATCCTCCTGCATGCTCAGACCTATGCAGGAATTGTTGGGGTTTTTTTAAAGTCTTCCCAACTTTCCCATACTGGGGAAAATAGGTCCCTGTTGCTCTGCCCACTGCACGTTCCCCACGGGCTGCTGCGGTTCCCAGCAGGATCCCAGCCCTGGACCCAGCAACAGTGGTGGGAGTTTTGCCTGTATAATGAATATGTTTTCATCAATGAATGGTAATTGAGGATGGAGGTGACACTGAAATTGGGGTTTATGCCACGCTTATCCCACGGGCTTAATCCTCTTCGTTCCTATTTTGGCACATAGTTAGAAATGGCCCAACATTCATTGAAAACAAGGTTAAAACGTCCAACCATGATGGTTTAGGTGTGCTTTCCTAGTGACAAAATTGTCTCCAGGAGTTCCTGTCTCTCCATAGCTGTTTGCCCACACTCCCCCCCCCCGGCTGTACCAATGCAACCAGTTTCTCTGCCTTTTAATCCTGATTCCCAGCACAGCCTCCTGTATGGCGTGATGGGGCAAGGAGCAAACTTCATCAGAGAGGCTGGGAACGAGCAAGTCCAAGGTAAGAGGCTCTGCTACTGAAGGAAACACATCCTGGGATAGAACACAGGACCATCAGGATGCCAAAAACAAGGACCACAGCAGGCTCCAGGTTGCACAGTTTGGGCTTTAGGTCTTTTGGTTTCAGGAAACAAAAATTTGGGGTTTGGAACCAAATTCTGATTTTTTCCAGTCACAAGCCAGCTGGGGACGCGGACGCTTCCCAGCAAGGGCTGTTGAGGTGATTCGGGAAGAGCATTAATGGGGGTCAGAGAAATGGCCTCAGAGCATCACAGAGCTGTCGGGCCCATGCGCACAGGACGTTGGGTTTGGGCTAGCCAAGAGAAGGAGGAGCAAATGAGGGAGGAAAAACCTCTTTTTCCATTAGCGAGAAGCAGGGCAGGGGGCTCGAGGGGGAGATTTAATTTG